GGTGAATTTGAGCATCAATTCTAGATGAAGAATCCAACACTTCTCTTCCACGTGACCAACGCCATTACAGTAAGTACACTTGAGATGAGGTTCTTACCCTTGTATACTTCCTGGTCTGCGGCATAGGCTCAAGCTTCAGTTGGCCTAGAGATAGACTCACCATTCAGAGCTCTCTTCCTAGTTTCTTTGGGTTAGACAATGACACAAACACTTTTGAAGGTTGGATGCTTTTAACTCATCAATATGTAGCTTCTAAGATCCTCATACTCCGAGCTTAAGCTTCCCAAAAGTTGGTATATCTTGTCTTCTTCAGCCCTCTTTAGTAGGATACTTGTATTTGTGGTGTGTGGAGGGTACACATCCAGCTCATTCCACATATTTTTGAGGTTGCCAAGGTGCTGCACAAAAGACTTCCCTTCTCATTGGATGCATGCAATGTTTTTCTTCAGTTGAAAGACCCTTGTATAATTGTTTTGATTTCCATACATGTCCTTCACAGAGTTCCACAAATCTTGTGAGGACTCTAAGTAACTGAAAATTTTAGCTATATGCTTCTTCATAGTATTGAGAAGTAAGGACATGATGAGTTGATCTTTGTAGAGCCAAGAATCAAAAGTTGGTGAGGTGATTCTAGGAGCTTCGATGCTTCCATTTACAAAACCAAGCTTTCCTTTCCTACTGAGGGCAAGTGAAACTGCACGAGACCAAGGTATATAGTTGAATTCATTTGACAAAACTAAACACAAATACTAATTGGTATTAACCTCAGTGTTTGAGAAGTTTGAAGGGGAAATATGGGAGGTATCACCCTTAATATTTACTGAATCTTCTTCAGCCATGGCTTAAGATTGAATCTGAGAAGCAACGGTGATGAATTGGCTAGAGACAGGTTACAAATAAACATGCTCTGATACCATGTTACTTTTCTAATTTAAAGTGTATTGTATTTCATAAGGAGAATGCATGTACAAGGACACATATGTAAGAAAGAAAGAAAAGGTTACAATTAGCCCTAGAGACTGGGTAAACCTAGAACCTATACTCTTCCTTAATTTAAGGTGATTCACACCAAACACAGGACTAAGAAGCAACAACAAGTGAAAGACCTTAAATCAAGGAGAAGAGGTAATGCTGGCATTGACAATGAGCAGCCATGATGATTCCTTGGAGACTTGTGATATGGGATGATATGCTAGAGTGCTAGGGATTTATTTATGGACCAAAGACTTCCATACTTCAACATTTATGGATCAAAGACTTTTAGCCTTCAACATTTATGAACCAAAGACTTTTAGTCTTCAATAGAAAACCACCACCACCACCCTTACCATTTTCCGTGAAAATCTTAACTAGAAACCACATAAGTAATCATCTAGGTAGTCTAGGAATTGAATAGATGCATTGCGTGCACAATCCAGTGCCAAAAATATGATAACTTGAGCTTGAGTTCTCAGTGGAATTCTCTGGCTTGTTCATAGTGAAAAATGATGGAAACACCTTCTATTTAGCTCTAACTTTACTCCAATCATCCTTAGGTATCAATTCCAGGTTGTGGATGTTGAATTTGAGTTATAAATTGACGTTTTAATCTCTGTAACGCTCTGTGCAATTTCCCACTTCTCGGCGAGTTTTTCTGGTTGAATTTTGTTGAGTTCGAGACTGGTGGTGCTCGAAACCAACTCGAATCAATTCTAGGTAATCATCCTTCAAATTGCATGTGAGATTTGAGTTGAGAAACTCAGGTTTTGACCCCGCATGCCCTCCGTTCGTGAAAGTTCAATGTCTAAATAGTACTTTTTGATGTTGAATTAACAAGATGTTAGAACATGCTTATAAAAGCTAAGTTATACATTCATGGGTACAAGTGGGATTAAATTGGACTAAGGCAAAGGACTTAATGAGGAAGTACACTTGGATTACGTGTGAGTGGATCCCTTTAAAACTTTTGTTTTCGATTAAATTGTTTTGATGAACAAATGATTTGAAATCAATTTGATGAAACTTAAGTAAAATTGATATTATGACACTATTGTGAATTTAATAATTTATTGTTACTAAATGGTCATTATGCACTATGTACCAGCTATCTACAACCGTATGACTATTTGTAAGTATTGATATTTCTAGTAGAGGCTAGATCTTATGAGTGATTTCCCGTAGAATATTTAGCTAGTAAAGGCTAGCAATACATAGTAGAGGTGGATCTGAGCATCCCTTTAAAGAGGGTGCTAATTGTGAACCCTTGATGAGGAAAGTCCTATCCTTATTAGTTACGAGAAGTTGTTTAAAGTTTGTTTTTATTGTGGGTGTAAGAGATCAATGTACACGCTTACTTAGAAGAGGCCTTAGATGGTGGGTATGTCATGATAGACAGAGTGTTCGAGGATGAACTTTTGGTATACACTGAAGATAACCATGTTGATGATGATGTGAAGGAATCCCTACAAAAGGATGTGATGTTGTGCTTTCCTTCTAATGTTAATCATGAAGAAGAGAATATTGACCGTGAGGAGGCTAGAATTAGAGAAGTGGTGGAGACTCAGAGGAGGAGGGTTGGACCATAGTGGTTCATAAGTTGAAAAAGAAAGTTGACAATAAGAGAAATGGGGAGCTGGTGGTTGATGATGCCATATCAAAGAATGCTAGGAAAGAGGTAGGAAAAGTTTTAAGTGTAAGTGGATACCTAGGGCTGATCTTGTGCTGGACTAGAGGAAGACTTAAGGTAACTCTAACAAAGAGCAGAAGGTAAATGCTAAAGTTCTTGTTCACTTAAATGATAATTCTACTCTTGCAGCTACACTTCTGATCATTAAGAAGACTAATATAGTTACTATAATTCATAATAACTGTGTTGTGCATGTTTTAGTCAATGTTTGTTTCTATTATATGTCATTTGTATGGTCATGATATGGTAGGTAAGAATTGAACTAGAAGTATTGGGAAAAGTAGCTCTGCTGCTGGGGATGTTGTGGCATTTATCATGGCGACGGAAACAAGGATAAGTACTACTAGGCCTAAAGTAGGCGTTTTAAGTCCAAGGAAGCATATCCAAGAGTGTTAGTGAATTCAATTTTAAACTAAGAATATTGATGATGAATATGGAAGAACACTCAGAAAACTTAAGAAGGAAGAAGAAGATAATTGCGATCAAAATCACAGAGAATATCCCTTTGCAAATTCTTCCATATATTTTGGGGCACTTTTTCTCATACATAAGAGCTCCTACACTCCAACAATATAACCGTTGGAAGTGAGGGAGAGAGAAAGAGAGATACAACTTTAAATTCAATCTTAGCCATCCAAACTATACTACACTGAGATTAAGACACTTGTTCAATATCAAGCCCTATGAGACTTGACTAACACATTAAAATTTTAACACACAGGCTCAGCCTATGAGCTAAAGCTTTTCTCTAAACAAAAATTGTAATCTTCCTTTTATCAGTTCATCACATTAAAATTTTAACACACAAGCTCAGCCTATGAGCTGAAGCTTTTCTCTAAACAAAAATTGTAATCTTCCTTTTATCAGTTCATCAATTTACACTTCAACACTCCTCCTAAATTGTGAATTGATCTCACTCCTAATTGCTCTCTAAGATGACAGAATTGATCCTTAGCAAGAACCTTTATGAATATGTCTGCTACTTGATCTTTGGTTGGACAATACACCAAGTCAATGATCCCATTTTGCAAAGCTTCCTTGATAAGGTGATACCTTATGTTGATGTGTTTGGTTTTCTTACGAAAGATAGGGTTCTTAGTGATTGCAATGGCAAAAGTGCTATCACAGTTTAGTGGAGTTGCAACAATCTGTGTTTCACCAAAATCCTCCAACACAAACCTTAACCAAGTTGTTTGTGAAGTGGCTTCTGCTACACTAGTGTACTCTACCTGGAAGTTGTGGATAGTGCAACACAGTGTTGCTTAACTGAGGACCAAGAGAATACTCCATTTCGAAAGGTGAATGCATACCCTAAAGTGCTTCTCATATCATCTTCAGATCCACTTCAATCACTATTACATAATCCAAACAACATTGCTTCTTGTCCTTTCTTGTACTCTAAGCCATAGTCCAAAGTTCCTTGTATGTACCTCAGCACCTTTTTAGTAGTTCTATAGTGATTATTGGTTGGACAATGCATGAATCTTGCTAACAGACAAGATGCATACAAAATATATAGCCTAGTTGCAGTGAGATACAACAGGATGCCAACTATTTTCCTGAATTGTGCTTCATCTGCATCTCTACTATCATCATCTTTTCTCAACGTATCATTTGGAACAACTGGAATACTAACAGGCTTACAATCCTGCAATCCAAACTTCTTGAGTAGAGAGGTAGCATACTTCTTTTAGATAATGAAAATGATGCAGCAAACCCAAATCTATCATTTCGTACTTATACATCATATCAGCTTAGAATTCTTCCATCATCTCAATACAACTTCCAGTATAAATGATATCATCCATATAAATCGACACAATGAGCATTCATGCACCTTCAATCCCTTTTGTATACAAGGTTGCTTCACTGTCACTCTTCTTGAATCCACATTCTTCAAAATAAGCATCAATTTCACTATACCAAGCCCTTGGAGCTTATTTCAGTCCATATAGAGCTTTGTGCGACTTGTACACCTTATCTTCTTCCCTTTGACAATAAAACCCTCTGGTTGATCCACATACACCTCTTCTTGAAGTACTCCATTCAAGAATGCAGACTTAACATCCAGTTGAAATAGCTGCCAATTATTCTTTGTAGCAAAAGCAATCAATGTTCTTATGGTATCCAACCTTGCAACAGGTGCAAATGTCTCATTGTAATCCACACCAGGTTTCTGTGCATACCCCTTTGCCACCAACCTTGCTTTGTTTTTCTGTACAGATCCATCCAAGTTCAAGTTGGTCTTGTATACCCACTTTACTCCAATTACTGGCTTGTCATGTGGTTTGTTCACTAATTCCCAAGTCTTGTTCTTTTCAATCATGTTGATCTCCTATTGCATTGCAACTTTCCAAGCTTCATCTTGTGCAGCATCATCAAAACACTCAAGTTCAATAATACACAGGTTATAGTGCCCATATACTTCACTTAGAATTCTCCATTTCAAAGGGGTTGAATTGAAAGCTTTTGTATCAACAAGCACCCTTGTACTCTGAATACTTGATCTTTCACTAGAAGTGGGAGATTTTGACCTGAAAGAACTTCCAGATTCATCTTCATTAGTTTCTCTAAACTCAGGTGAGATTAGAGGAACACAGACTTCTTTCACTTTGTTTTCTTCCCAGTTACACTTCTCATTTTCATTAAATACTACATCTCTTGACACAGTCACCTTCATTGTGATTGGATTAAGGATTATGTACCCCTTCTCACAGGATCTATATCCACTAAAAATTCCTTTTGCACTTGATGCCTCTAACTTGTGTCTCAAATCTCTAGGTATTAATGAATAGCGCACAACACCAAATACCTTGAGATGTTTAATCCCCGGTCTTCTTCCACTATAAGCTTCAAATGGTGTGACCTTGTCCAGTGCACTTGTAAGGCATCTATTCAATAAGTAAACTGTTGTGTTGATTGCCTTTCCTCATAGCTTGTAGGGTAGCCCTTTCTCATGTAGCATACTCTTAGCCATCTCTACTATTGTCCTATTCTTCCTTCTGCCACTCCATTTTGCTGCGGAGTGTAGGACACAGTGAGCTGTCTTTCCATACCAATTGATTCACAAAGTGCATTAAACTCAGTAAAGGTGAACTCTCAACCCCTGTCACTTATCAGTTTCTTCAGTAGATAACCACATTGCAGTTCAACCATAGCTCTAAACTTCTTAAATATCCTAAGCACCTCTGACTTATTCCTCATCAAGTAGATCCAACACATTCTCGAGTTGTCATCAATGAATGTGAGGAAATATCTGTTTCCACTTACAGTTGGAACCTGCATAGGTCCTCAAACATCATAATGTACCAATTCCAGCTGTTCTTGTGCTTTCCAAGTAACCTTCTTAGGAAATGACTCCCTATGACGCTTCCTAAGTACACAATCTTGACACACATCATTGCTATCTTGGATTTCAAGTAGCCCTAATACCATTCCTTAACTCTGTAATAGTTTGAGACTCTTGAAGTTTAAGTGGCTAAATCTCTTATGCCATATCTTTGCACATTCTTGCACACTTGTTCTTTGTGCCAACTCCTTTTTTGTGCTAAAAATAAAGGGAAAACACCTATTTCCTTATTGTTTAACTGACCACCAAGTTACTTAGAAACCTGTCATCAAACGCATCCATTATGTAGTCTCCAAACAGAAAAAAGTAACCATGCTCTATCATCTGGCCTACACTAAGTAAATTCTCTACAAGACCAGGTACAAGCGTCATTTCCTTTATGTATCTCTTACCCTTCATTGTCTCAATAACCAGTGTCCAATTTCCTGCCACTTCAACCAAAACTCCACTGCTTACTTGGACTTTGGCTTTCACATTTCTGTCAATATCTACAAGCAAGTCTTCTCTGGATGTCATATGATTACTGCATCCACTGTCTATGTACCACACATCACTTATCTTCTTCACTTTACCAAAGTGTTTAGCATAAAACAAATTACCTGTTTCTTCCACCCGATGAGCAAAATTTACTTGTTGCACATCCCTGTTTGTATTGCAGTACCTTGCAATGTGTTCAATTTTATTGCACTTGTGACACTTGACCTTGTTCTTGACCCAACATTCACCATAGTGCAGTCTATCATAGAATTTACACTTGTCTCCAATGTTATTTACCTCATTTTTCACAGGAACACCAGCCTTGTTACTCCACTGTTTCCTTTTTGACTTAGAGTTCTTTTGGTATTTGCCATTGTTAGCTTGACCATTAAACCTATTTGGTTTTGATGCAATGTTTAAGCTAGCAAATGCCTTCTATGTGCTGCTCTCACCATGTTTATCAAGTTTTTGGTCATAACCTTTTAGAATGGCAACCATATCTTGAGTGTCTATGGTCTCCAGATCTTTAGTGTTCTCTATCACTGATGTAGTACTATCATAAGAATTAGGCAAACTAATTAACAGTTTCTGTACAATCCTTTGATTTCTCAAATCTTCCCCATAACTTCTTATTTGATTAATCAGATCAAACAGTTTAGCAATATACATGGAGAGGGATTCATTATCATTCATACGAGTATACTCAAAATCTCATCTAAGACCTTGAAGTTTCATAGATCTTACTTACTTATCACCAATGAATTCTTGTCTCAGAATGTCCCACGTTGCCTTTTCACTTTTCTGAGTTGCGATCTTTGGAAAAATTTGATTTAAAACAGCACATTGGATGATTCCAAGTGCTCTAGCATCCTTGACTACATTATCTCGCATTAGCCTTTTCTCCACCTCCGTGAGCTCCTCTTCCTTCTTCATCGGAGTTTCATAGCCATTTTCAACCAAATTCCACAGTTCTTGTGAACGGAAAATGGTCTTCATTTTGATTTGCCAGAAATCAAAATTCTCGTCATTGAAAACTGGTGCTCTGAGTTCTCCCCCTCCAAATCGAGCCATGTTAGACTCGATGACTGATATAAACTCGAATCACCGCAATGAGCCTTTGCTATGAATCTAAGCTCAATCCTTCACAGACACGACGTCCAGAAGTTCAGACTCAACCTGGCTCTGAGTCCATATTAGTGAATTCGATTTTAAACTAAGAATATTGATGATGAATATGGAAGAACACTCAGAAAACTTGAGAAGGAAGAAGAAGAGAATTGCGATCAAAATCACAGAAAATATCCCTCTGTAAATTCTTCCATATATTTAGGGGCACTTTTTCTCACATAAGAGCTCATACACTCCAACAATATAACTGTTGGAAGTGAGAGAGAGAGAGAGAGAGAAAGAGAGTTATATACAACTTTAAAATTCAATCTTAGACATGCAAACTATACTACACTGAGATTAAGACACTTGTCCAATATCAAGCCCCATTAGACTTGACTAACACATTACAATTTTAACACACAAGCTTAACCTATGAGCTGAAGCTTTTCTCTAAACAAAAATTGTAATCGTCCTTTTATTAGTTCTTCAATTTACACTTCAACAGAGAGGAGGTTGATGCAAAAGTAGAAGACAGCCACAAGAATCTTCTTTATGAAATTGACTGATAAGTGCATTGCTTGGAATTGTAGGGGTCTAGGGAGACCGGATTTTAGCAGTAATTGTAGTTTTTTGTATTCTTCAACAAAGTGATTTCATTATTAATAATTGTTGGGATATAGATAAACTAAATGAAGTTATGGATAGAGATATTGTTAAAAAGATTTGCTTACTTCCTATTCCTCTTTGAGATATAAAGGATAAATTTGTCTGGGGTATTTCTAACAATGGTGGTTTCTCAGTCAAGTCTACAACTTGACGCCAAAACGGCAACAAGTTCAATCTTTTAAAGAAAATATGGAAGCTGTCTATTCTTCCGAAGGTTAAAATGTTTGTTTGGCTTATGATAAATAACAGGATACAAACTAAATAATATTTAAGTAAAATTGTCAATAATATTAATAAAATGTGCCTGATGTGGAGCCTTAAATAACCGCAAAAATTCTATAGGCCACACTTGGAATTTTGCTTAAGAAAGAGAAGATTGCCCTCATTAAATGGGCAAGTTCCTCAGATACCCCCATGCACAGCTCAACACCCCTGAAGATCCAAGTAGCTAAATGCGGCTGCCCACAGCTCACCTACTATGGCAAGGAAACGTCAAAGCATTAAAGATAAGGATGCTGCCATGTACATGGTAAAACCCTAACACCATGGTTGGTCCTCTCTCCCTATATATATCTCCAATTCTACCAAATTCCGGTAAGCTGTTACTACCCCTAAAAGCCCTAAACACAAACACTTACTCTATTCAGAGAAACTAACTTAGGCATCAGAGATCCATTGGCCTAACCCCTTCCCCCCTCCCCCTCCTCCCAACCCCGTGGGCGCGTGAGGCTTAGGTCTTTGATCAAATGTGTTGATCATTTTGTGGGTGCATTTTCACAAAGTAAGAGACAGTGAAAATTTACATCGACACTCAATATGTCAAAATGAGGAGAAGGATCTAAATCATCTATTTATCAAGTGCCAGATTGCTAAACAGATTTAGAATCTTTCTTTTATTGCTCCTCCAAATACCAATAATATTATAGTGATAATATCTTCGATTGGATGGAAACTCTGAGGTCTCGTGATACTGAAGACATGTCGGAGTTGAGTAAGGTCATGCATATTCTAAATTGTTGGCAAATATGGTCAAAAAGAAGTAATTTGGTCTTCATGAGTGTTGTCCCAACTCCCGCTCGGGGAGTTTCCATTGCAACTAGTTTAGAAAAAGTTTTTCTTGCGAGCTAATGAGAGGCAAGTTTGTAAGGGTACTACTCCTCCTGATCAGATTATAAAATGGCACATCCTGATCATAATGATATGGTTAAGCTTTTTGATGGGTCAGTTACTAAGGACTATGCTGCTGCAGCATATGTGCTAAAAAATTGTGATGGTCAAGCCATTGGAGCATGAGCTTTTAATTTGGATGGAGTCACTATTTCCGTGGATGAAATGATGGGCTTGAGAAAAGGCTTAAGTTTACGAAGTCCAAGGGTTTTCAAAAAGTGGTGGTGGAGGGTGATTTGAAGCTTTCATGAGGCAGTGCAAGGAAAGTGGGAGGTCCCTGGAAGGATTAATCTATCATTGAGGATGCTCGCAGTCTTCCTTGCTCTTTCAACCAAGTTGTTTGGAACCATATATACCGGAAGGTAAACTTTGTTACAGATGTCTAGGCTCACCTTGATCTTTCACTTGCGAATCCTCATATGTGGGATTATTGCTTGCCGGCTATTGCTCTCAATGCTTTTAATTTTGAAGGTTTTGTCTTTAATGATATTCTTTCTTAATTAAAAAGAAAAAAGAAAATTTTCATCAAGCATTATTTTGTATTTTTTTTTCCTTTGAATTGATTGCCAGACAACTATTTCATCAGGCAAAATATTTTAAATTTTTTATTTCAATATGTCTGACAAAATGGTTCCATTGGGCAAGTTTTATTTGTCAGGCCAAGTTGGTCAACATAATTTCCTCGTCAGACAAACATGAAACATATGAGCAACAGTTTTGCGCGACAGTCATTTCTCAACGAAATGTTGTCAGGCAAATAAATAGGCGACGAAACCTTATTTGGTCCGACAAGATTATTTCGTGTAGAAAGAGAATTTTTTTGTCGTGAAAGATCCAAATCCTTTTTTCCTTTTTTTTTTTTATTTTACATTCTCAGTTGGCTATTAGTATTGAATGATATGATGTATTTATTTAATAAAAATATGCATAATGTTGCAGTCATATTTAGAATAGGAAAGCGATTGTGTAAATCTGAGTGTATATAGAGATATGTTTAAATATTTCCTTTAGTAGTTATTAATCCTATTAGAGTTGTAATCCTATAAGGGTACAGATTTACCAATCCTACTACTATAAATAAAGGCACAATGGGGTGATACAACACAAACCTCACAATTAAATCTCTCTCTTGTCTCTCTTGCCGCTGGCAATCAAATAGGTTAACACCACGTTATCAGCACTCTTGTCAAAAGCTAAGGAACTGAATGATTGTAGGAGGAGGTTTTCTTCTACAAAATTCAAAGGCTTTATTTGTTTTCTGCTAATCAGGTACACTTCAAATGAAGTAAGATATTTGAAATGTCCACGAAGCATGAAAACATTCCCCATGATGCATAAACTCCCTATATTTATATTTCCCTTCCGATATATATTGTATATGGTTCATATATTTGTCAATGTATATATTAGAAGCAATTTAGGTTTCTTAAAACCCTAGAAAAGTTGAAAAAAGAAAAAAATTCTGACAAATATGCAGCATGGTTGCAGCTCGCCGTCACACCGCCTCTAGGCACCATTGCCGACCACCGCAATTGGCCTGCAGCCCAACTGCATAGAGTAAACATGGGAACAACATCGTTTAATGCCTTGGACCACATGATAGCAGCTCATTAGGCTTTGCTACTCATATCAAACAACCCGGGCCCTAGGCCTGATAGGGAAATCATAGGCCTGAAGCCCCTAGCCCAAACCAAGAAGGCTTGAAGCTTTCTTGGCCTTGTCCCACGTGTCTTTGGCCCAACTCAAACAGTGCAGAGCTACTAGTACTTTCATGTTCTATGCCCAGGCCTGCCCGCAGCAACCTGCTGCTAGTTGGGCTTTGCCCCAGCTTCAGCCCAACTCGCCAGCAATTTATGTTATTGGGCTTGACTTGCCCCAACCCAAAAACTTGGACCCCACCTTAGCTGGGCCTCCCTACACCAACTCGCAAGCTAGCTTTAGGCTAAGCTTGCCCTAAGCTTTGTTTTTGGTTGAAAACAGCAGCACTTGCTGCTGGGCTTACCCAAACCACACGGCTTAGAGGCCTGCAACTCTTCCCTAGGCCCATTGGGCCACAGCCGTGCTGTAAGGCCTACCACTGCACCGTCACCAGCCCTTTTTTTTTTTTTTTTTTGCTAGGCCGCGTTCTCTTTTTCGACCCAATGCCAATTTCGTTATCACGTATACCCAAATATTTTTTTGGGTGCTTTGGGTTATTACAACCGAAGCTAATATGACCTATCTGTCATTATTTTGCTTCTACGATCGACCCCATTTGGTCCCGATCTATAGAATTAATTAAAAGTGATCAGCAATCTATTAATCTGATAACTAATCCAAACTTATCGACCTGAATATCACTTTTGGACATTAATGATTCAATAATTTATTTTTCTACTTTGAACTATTGACATCCTTTGGTAGTTCCGAAGCTCTCACACTTGAGTTCTCGAAACAACTCAAATCCACTACACTTAAATCAGTACATTGCATTCTGTGTTCTTGCATGAACCTTTCCTATATGAACTAATCGTTCATAAAAGTAAATTAAACCTGTAGTTTCATATTTAGTGTCTTTGAATCCCGAATTTTTCATTCAAAACTTAGCAAATGAAACCTATTGCTTTCATGCTTAAATTAAACCAATACATGTCTATAGAACCCGGTTCTACAATGTATGTCTGTGGATTACCATATGACTAACTATGTTTTGTTGTACCCTCCGTTTTAGGGACATGTCCAACTTCAACAAGCTTGATTTCAACACTTTGGAATTATCTGGAAGAAACTACCTGAAGTGGGTTCATGAAGTGAAGCTCCACTTTACTACAAAGGGTATTAGATCCACCATCAAGGAATCTATCGACGACAACCCCGTTGACGAAATTGAGCAAGCTACTGCAATGATCTTCATTCGAAGACACATCCATGATGCACTGCAGACCGAGTACCTCGCTGAGGAGGACCCACGTATCCTCTGGCTTGCGCTGCCTGATCATTTTAATCACCAGAAAAACATTTACTTGCCTGAAGCAAGACACGAGTGGTAGTATTCACGCTTTAAAAACTTTAAGTTTGTGAATGAATACAACTCTGAAGTTTGTAGAATCTAATCACTGCTTAAGTTTTGTAAAGTGGACTTAACATAT